GGGATAATAGTCTCGATCCAAATGTTACAGTTCACTACGTTAACAGATTGTTATTATAACAGAAACAAACGTATGTTTTCCATATATATCTTAAATGATATTATTTGTTATTAATTGTCCAGTGAATTAAACAATTTAAATTGAAACAATTCATAATTCATCATATTATGAAAACGTAACAACTTGTAATGTGTGTGTAAAAAGTCGTACTAAAATACGCTATTTGCAGGGGGCGTGGCCTAAATGCAAATGTCCAATTGGGAATTAAAATTTTCCGGACCCCTGTATATAACATATTCGATATGCACCATCCCCCATAGATCGGGGTCAAAGTGCTGTATATGATATATTTGGTACTTGTATATACCGTCTACAATCCATAGCTATCGTTTTGCACGAACAGAATTTAATTTCGAACAGCCTATCATATAAAGCGATATTAATTTTCTCCAGGCGAGCGGTATTAACTTTGTAAACAGAATTATAAAACTCTTTCATCTTATGTAATTTTTGTCTAACCTTGTGGCATACCATTTACAATTAATCAATACAACTAATTTTAAAAATGTAGAAAGAACATGTCAAAATGTACAGACAAGTGAAATAATTGTTTTGAAAAATTATATAAATAGGATTTATCACATCTACTCATATGTGAATTACAAGGATTCCCTTCAGCACAGTTATATCAAATAATTTAGTGAGAATTAATTTTTTGCATTTCTATTCACATCGTGGGGTTGGAGGAGACCGCATTTTAAATTGGGCCACGAAGAACTGAATGCGGAAAATTGTTTACAGTTACAAACAAAACTAAAACTAAAAATGGATTGCATATCTAGTCAAGGCTCATTTATTCCACGGCCACAATCAGACATATTTCAGAAACCTCTCAAGTTACTCCTTTTACTATTGTAATATGGACGATTCTATTACATTTGCTATTGTGACCACAATGTGATGTAGAAACACATCCCTGATTTCAATTATTGAACTATTTATAACATAATTTGTGAAAAGAAATATTGTATATCTACAGTGACATTTGTGCATGAATGTGAATTGCTGCACATGAAGCCTGTGAATATTTGACAAGTACAAAATAACAAAACACTCAATATGTTTCCAATTTATGGTGAAGAATTTAATGTGGGTTATTTATTGGGAACGGAACATGAAAATATACAAAAGATCATATTCAGTATGGTCCCTCAAAATAACAAACTAAATCATCTTCCGCATATACATCGCCATACATTTAAGAACGAACTGAAAGCTTTACCGCAGTAAATGGGTTGTTTTTTTAAGAAATTGTGGACTGTTTATGCCAGTTCTGGTTGTATCCCAGCACACAAGGTCTATCAAACAGCAAACCAGAACTGTGTCTGTGTGGAACAGTGTGGTCTTATCGTTAATCCAAAGTATCCTCACCTAGGTGCTAGCCCAGATGGTTTGATACAAACTGTTGATAGACGTCCTGGTGATGTTCTTGAGATAAAGTGTCCAGCACACAAGGTCTATCAACCAGCAAACTAGAGCTGTGTCTGTGTGGAACAGTGTGGTCTTATCGTTAATCCAAAGTATCCTCACCTAGGTGCTAGCCCAGATGGTTTGATACAAACTGTTGATGGATGTCCTGGTGATGTTCTTGAGATAAAGTGTCCAGCACGTTGTGACTGGAAATGGATGGAGCCCAAGGAGTGTGCCAAGGATCCTCGATTCTTCTGTTTTCTTGATGAAAAAGGCTGTGTTCGGCTTAAAAGGTCTCATAGATATTATTATTAAATTCAGGGTCAAATGGCTATTACTGAAAAACTGTGATGTGATTTCATGGTTTGGACTTTGAATGGGTGGACTGTTGACAGAATTTGATTTGATGAACAAGTCTGGAATGACATGCTGCCTCAATTGAACAAATTTTACCTCACTAATGCCCTACCAGAATTATACTCAAGAAGAGTTAAAGGGGAATTCCACTGTATAATTACATACTAAGATTTTAAATGTAAATTGGTGTATGTATGAAGCATATGCATGTATATCTAAACACCACTGTCTGACTTGTGTGCACATATACGGTATGAATACTCTGCCTATGGTCCATATGAATGGATGATGTACTGCTACATATTGATGTCATACTTCACTGGATTATGTAATGATGGCTACTGCTTATATGTACACAGTGTGGGCAATGAGATCAGTTTACTTGAATGAATGACATATTGAACTGTACGACCTTGATACTACAACCTGATGGGAGTGATAGATAGGACTGACTGATATGTATGCAAATAGGTGCATAAATGTAGTATATCCATGTATATATGCCATAGTCTTACTTGTGTGCTTGTATACTGTATGAACAATCTGATATGATTAGATGATTTACTGCTGGACATTAATGTGCATATGACTGGATTATGTAATGATGGCTATGTGCATACTATTGCTTTGTTGTACACTGTGCAGGCAATGAGACTGGTATATTTGAATGGATCATGCATTGATCTGTATTATTTTGTTACTAAAACCTGATATTGATAAAAGAAAGGACTGCAGCCGATACGTATGCAAATAGGTGTATTATATGTAGTATATGCATGTATATCTGTGTGCCATGTTCTTAACTATGTGCACATATATTGTATGAACAGTCTGTTTACATTCCATATGACTGGATGACATAATGTTGAACATTGGTAGCTCACATGACTGGAACATGTGATGATGGTTACTGCTTAAATGTACAATGTTATTGAATCGTCTTTGTTATGAAATTTCTTCACCTCTTGTTTAATATTAACAAACAAATGCAACAAACAATACAATATATATTTAGTTCATATGAGTCCTTTTCGTTGTTTTTCCTCACACTTGGCATGCTATATTACTTTAAAACTTTGCCATCTGTTTTGATAGCATATAGCAGCTTTGCAGCTCAAATATACACAATGCTTTTAAACATGTACATGTCAAAACCAAACATATTTTATTGAGGAACTGATCACTATGTTCCTAACAATATTGACTCCCTGTCAACGACATGGGTTAAAGGGGCACTGATCTAACGCAATTCCCCGGGACTGGTTGTTGCCTTTGTTATTGTTTTTTCCCAGTGAGTACCCGGATGTATAGCAGAAATCTAGACTAGTTCGCGACCTCTGCTGCGCCATTCCTAAACGCATACGTCACTTTAATGGGTAGTAATAAGGGCGTATGGTCACACTGATCAACAAAATGAAATACAGTTTTCGAGATAATAAGGAAATGTAGGTATCTTTGTGGGTAGCATCAGTAATGGTAACGAAGTTTTGATAAGTCACTTGCTTGGTAATTTTGCGATTTTCGTTTACACTATTTTGACTTGCTACACAAAGAATATTTCACCTGAGCATTGCTTTTTTTATAGTGTGTATATTTTTTAGTGTCAAATGTGTAACAAATTTATTAAACGTCTAAATATTCAGTTATTTTACAAAGTGACTGAAAAACATTTCCATCTGTATTATTATGATAACGAATTCCAAAAATTTTGATGTTTAATGTCATCACCAAGAGACTGAAAATGTTACGTTGAAAAGTACATTTCCATGTTGTTTGGCTTCTAATCCTACATAATAATCTGTTGTGATGTTTGTAGGCCCTTTTGATCGTCTTAATCAATCTGGACAGATTTTTTAGTCAAAATGACTGAAATATTTACACATTTTATAAATTGCCTGAGAGAATCACATTTTACAAATTGACGGTAATATATACACGGTTACAAAGGAATAGACCTGTGAAAACAACATCTATCGCTAATTGAAGAATTTCCCAACCAAGACGTAGAGAAACAAGAACGAATCGGTTCAAATGAAGGAAAACAAAATGCAAATATCATAATTACAACCTACCAAATATATGTGTATAAATTTTAGGCAGCTTCCTTGTTCGAGGAATGTATCCGTGAATATCCACACAAAGGAACAATATCCCACTCGTCTGCAGCTGTACAAAAAAAATATTCGATGTCACGTGTCTCAGTAACAATCAAATATTTTAAAAGATATATATCGTTTCGGGATATTATAACCCGTGTTCGTTTCTCAACTGATCACCTGGATTCTTTCAAGTGTTTCACATAGGTGTCAAGTTTCAATGGTCTGCCGAGAAAGCCCACGTGACAACTATTTTCATAACGTCCACGGTTCCTAAAAAATCCATTGAGTGATGGATAACAATGATCAATCAATCAACGTATTAACAGTTAACCCTTTGAACAAAGTATGTTGTTTTTACATCGGCACTTCACGCCATGATATGAGTGTATTCCCTTTGTTTTAGTAAACCTAGACATGTAAACACTCACTCTTGACATATCCACTGTGCAAGATAACAGTGATTAATCAATCAACGTATTGTCTGTTAATCCTTTTATGACTATGAACGATCCGTTGATTTACAAAAAAAAGTAAATCAACTGATCATTCATCTCTTGCTGGGCTGCCACGTGCATATTACATAACACACATTTCACCTCACTTCAAACCTGGATTTAGATTGAATAATTACCCCAGACACAATAAATGCCAAATGGGAACCTTTGTCAGGTAATCTAAGTGGTGCTACCACTAATTGTACCTGTAATAAATTCATTAACTGAGCATCAAGTGAATGACGACAAATACACAAGTGTAGGGTTATACGAGAAAACGTGGATGACAACAAGAGAGTAGTAATCGTATTATCGACGCAAGCCGAAATCCGAAAATGCTATCACTGCATGGATACTTTCTTTAGTATTAAACTATAACCATCTGGGGTATTTCCAAATGACGACATCCGATGAGCTCCGCTGTTCTTTTTGTCTGTTTGTTTAGGCTGAAGAAATTAATTAACATGCGCCCTTTGTCGAAATCTTTATAGATCACAGTTAACCAATCAGTGTTTATGCAAAAACGCGTAAAACAAATATTGCCTCCAGCCTCAAAGTTTATTTAGCTGTCCTTGCAGACGGTAGCCCAGTCTCTGGTCACGCTCAGTTGCGTTGCGTATCATCCGGGTACTCACGGGGGAAAAAACAATAACAAAGGCAACAACCAGTCCGGGGAATTGCGTTAGATCAGTGCCCCTTTAAATGTGGATTGCTGTTGAACAGCTAGTGAGACATTAATATAACAGTTTAATATTCAACATGGTTATGACTGTTGAGTTTTCTAGACCATTCAGTGTAACAAATTCAAGTCAAGTCCTTATTGCAGCATTTAGGACTTAGGCTCAGAGTATGTTTTATAAGCATGAATATAAATCATATGAAAAATAACTATTTGGTACTTACATATGGATACATAGAGCTTGAAGCATAGAGCATGAGCTTGCCACAAGGCACTACAAAGTAGTTTCAGTAAATTATCTCCCTTTGTGTGGGCTTTCCAAACTGGTGTACTGCACAATATATGAACAAAGCACATTTTCAAACATACTGTCATCAGTCATTTGTTTCATGAATCTGTCCATACTTCATTTCATGTGAATGAATATCATTTAAGAACAAGAGTAAAGAGACAATACCGTGATCCAAAACAGTCTTGCATGTGGTTCCAGACAATACCGTGATCCAAAATTGTCTGGCATGTCGTTCCAGACAACACTGTGATCCAAAACAGTCTTGCGTGTGGTTCCAGACAATACCGTGATCCAAAACAGTCTTGCATGTGGTTCCAGACAATACCGTGTATAATTATGTATAAATCTAATTTGGAATTTACATTATTGTATCCTGACTAAAATAAGAAATATTAAACATTAAACTCAGTACTTGATATAATTATGTACAATATGTGGGTGTTGGCTCCTAAAGTTGTAGGACAGCCTAATCATGCTAATGGAATAACTTGCTTTAACAATAACACTTTGGTTGCACCAAAATGACTGGAGCAAACGAAATAACATCAAGGTCTAAAGTTAGATACATTTTTTTTACCTACCAAACTTACCAAACGTTTGAATGTCTTGTTTGGCAAAGGATGAAGTTTACTCGGTCCCTGCTGTCCATCAAAGTGTTCCGAGCATAATCTGGTGCTGTCATTTCTTGAATATTTAAAGTTGGAACAGACAAGTTTGCACCTTTGAATCCAAACCCTTCTCAGTCATATATCTGCAGGAAATCTGTGCATAGTGATCTTCCGGCCATTCACAGATTTCTTACAGTGATTGCTACAAATACAACAGCAACAACGGCATCTTGACTTTTTATGTTCTCAATGGCGCGACACGTCCTGGCACGTCCTGGAAGTAGATACCCATTGACCAGCACAAGTGCATCATGTTTCTGTTAGCAGGTGACACAGTTATAAAACTATGGCTGTCGTGACCGTATGTCAGGCAAAATGAAGTGAACTATTATGACAGCTATCCAGTGTGTCAGGTCAGCATTCCTCGATATGAGGAGGTCAAACACACTTTGATGTCCAGAAACAGCAGCTATCATTATTGGTGTAAATCCATTCCGTCCTCTAGTATCGATATTAGTAGGTGACACAAGATATTGTACTATAGCCTTGTTACCACCCTGACAGGCAACATGAAGTAAACTATCACCATTGTTGTTCACCAGTGTCAGGTCAGCTTGCTTTGATACTAGGAGGTCAAACACACTTTGATGTCCTTTCAAAGCTGCTATCATTATGGGTGTATATCCATTCTGTCCTCTAGCATTGATATTAGAAGGTGACACAAGATGTTGTGCTATAGCCTTGTTACCACCCTGACAGGCAACATGAAGTAAACTATCACCATTGTTGTTCACCAGTGTCAGGTCAGCTTGCTTTGATACCAGGAGATCAAACACACTTTGATGTCCTTTGACAGCTGCTATCATTATTGGTGTAAATCCATTCCGTCCTCTAGTATTGATATTTGAAGGTGACACAAGATATTGTACTATAGCCTTGTTACCACCCTCACAGGCAACATGAAGTAAACTATCACCATAGTTGCTCACCAGTGTCAGGTCAGCTTGCTTTGATACCAGGAGGTCAAACACACTTTGATGTCCAAAGAAAGCTGCTATCATTATTGGTGTATATCCATTCTGTCCTCTAGCATTGATATTAGATGGTGACACAAGATGTTGTGCTATAGCCTTGTTACCACCCTGACAGGCAACATGAAGTAAACTATCACCATCGTTGTTCACCAGTGTCAGGTCAGCTTGCTTTGATACTAGGAGGTCAAACACACTTTGATGTCCAAGGACAGCTGCTATCATTATTGGTGTATATCCATTATGCCCTCTAGCATTGATATTAGAAGGTGAGGCAAGATGTTGTGCTATAGCCTTGTTACCACCCTGACAGGCAAGATGAAGTAAACTTTCACCATTGTTGTCCACCAGTGTCAGGTCAGCTTGCTTTGATACCAGGAGGTTAAACACACTTTGATGTCCTTTTAAAGCTGCCATCATTATTGGTGTACATCCATTCTGTCCTCTAGTATTGATATTTGAAGGTGACACAAGATGTTGTACTATAGCCTTGTTGCCACCCAAACAGGCAGCATGAAGTAAACTACCTCCAATGTTGGCTACTGGTGTCTGGTCAGCTTGGTTTGATACTAGGAGTTCAAACACACTTTGATGTCCAAAGAAAGCTGCTATCATTACTGGAGTACATTCATACTGTCCTCTAGTATTGATATTTGAAGGTGACACAAGATGTTGTACTATAGCCTTGTTGCCACCCTGACAGGCAAGATGAAGTAAACTATCACCATTGTTGGCTACTTGTGTCTGGTCAGCTTGCTTTGATACTAGGACTTCAAACACACTTTGATGTCCTTTGCCAGCTGCTATCATTATTGGTGTAAATCCATTCCGTCCTCTAGTATCCATATTAGAAGGTGACACAAGATGTTGTACTATAGCCCTGTTACCACCCTCACAGGCCAGGTGAATTAAGTCATCTTCATTCTTATATTTGGTTTTCTTGTTAGACATTGATTGCAATAGCTGATAGCACTCATGAGATCCTATGAGTGCTGCAATCATGAGTGGAGTCATCTCTTCACCATTAAAAGAGTTGATTACAACTTTCTTCTTTTCATGATCAAAGAGTTTGATGTTGTGTTCTGTCAACACCTTTAGTGTCTTCTTCTGCCCTGTCATGCATGCTAAGTGTATTATGTTTCTCTTGTCTGCATCAGTAGTAAACACATCAGCACCATTTTCTATCAGATAAACAAGTGTTTCAGAACTCCCATGTGGTGCAGCCAGCAAAAGCCATCTGCTCATTAAATCAATGTCTGGATTTTTACTTCTGGATAAAAGCCACTTCAATACTGTCAGGTTGTTGTTGATCACACAATCTTCCATGGCGTCACTGATCTCTGTTTGAGTAAATTCTCCTCCAGTTCTCTTTTCTATTTCTCGGACAAACTTTTGACTGTGTCCTAAAACAGCCCAAGATAAAAAGCATGTCCCTTCATCTCTCTTGTGGAACCAACAGTCATCCATGGATCCATCAGGTTGTAGCTTTTCAAGCAACTGAAGAGCTACCTTTTCGTGTCGGAGGATGGGGTGTGTCACTGATTTTGAAAACCGCCCATTCTTTATTGAGTCTGCAAGTCTGGTAGTCAGGATATCATAATACTGGTCTGAGACATATATCAGGTGGAGATGATCATCGATTTTGGTTTCCTCTACTGGTTGTGGTTGCACTCGCTCATATATGAAGTTGTCACTGCAGTGAGTCAGCACAAATGTTGGACTGATGTCATACAACGAACAAGCACAAGCATCATATATGGAAGAATGGGCAAATCCAATAGCATCACCACGTGTAAAAAATGTTCCTCTAAGACACTTTGCTTCTTTGTACATTCCTAAGCGTGATGCTGATGGCATCAACTTTAAAACAGTTCTGACCATGTTGTCCAGTTTCTGGTCCTTGCCGTCTGCTTCCAATTCCGCCAAATTTAACTTATCATCACACAGTAGCATCAGAACCAGTATGGCGGAGCGATCACTGTTTGACTCCAGCATGTTTTTGAGTTCCAGCCTTAGATAAAACAGTGGTCTCTTGAAAAAGTCCTTTGTATTTTGATGAAAGGATGAAAGTTCAAAACAAAGTTTGCAAATGAGAGGAAATCCAAACATATTTGGATCTATGTCCCACAGTTCAAAGTCAGGTATATCTTCACAGTCTTCATCAGAATATTCTTTATGTATTTTCCTGTGGTGCTCAAATATAGCCTTCTTCTCTGCATGAGTATATCTGTGTCTCTCTTGAGTTGTTAAATCCACCAGTGTTGGTCCCTTGAACAGAGAGAATCCTTCATACTGCAGCTTAGCAAGTCCATCATGGAAGTTGTATGTCTTGGATGTGAAGACAACACGAATATCCTTTGTGGGCTGTTGTTGTCGGTCAGGACCTCTACTTGTTTTATTTTCATGTTCAACTTCTTTTTTAGCTTGCTGTTTTTGTAGCCTTTTGCAGTGTTTTAAGTGTCTGTCAAGCTTATTGAGGAATGTTTTTAGCTGTGAAACAACTGTAGATAGTCCAACAGTACCAAACATATCATCAATGATAAGAAATACTCTAGGTGATGAACTCAAGAGGCTGTCCAAGTCAAACTTTTTGATTCTGTCCACAAATGCGAGTTTGTAACCCCTTTGTCTATACTGTGAACCCAGCACAAGAGCTGCTGTAGTTTTGCCTTCTCCTGAAGCACCACAGATGGTGACATGGCCAAAATCCTTCAGTTTTTGTTTTACAGTCCTGAAGCTCTCCGTTTCAACAAAGATTTCTTCAGCATCATGTATTTGAAGGTCAAGGGTAGTAGCTACAAACAAAAACAGTCATCATTACATGATTTATTTGTGACATGATGTTAATGATGCTAATGTTCTGGTGTTTTGAAACCTACTTCCAGTGTATTTGCTCTGTAAAAATCTTCTCTGAAATTGCCACACTGAGGAAGCTGTATGTTCCTTCTTATGATTACATCATATTTTGTTGACCTTTAGAACCAGTTTTCGTTCCTCAGTATTTATTTTGACTGTGAAGATTGTTTTTTATATCAATGCTGACAGAAACTTTTGCTAAATGGCCATATGCATGACCAGCACTTGTCGTTTCTTTAAACCTGTTGAGGTGCTGACATGGCTTAGGTTACTTAGGCGTATCAAAGTAAAAGAACTGGTTCTCAGGCAATGGCTTTTGAAAATATAGTAACTGATTGCTATTTCCAGCTTGTTTAAAGAGAAGGGGCGGTCGGGAAGCCTAGTGGTTAAAGTGTTCGATTGTCACACCAAAGAACCGGATTTGATTCCTGACATGGGTACAATGTGTGAAGCCTATTTCTGGTATCCCCGGCCATGATATTGCTGGAATAATGCTAACAGCTGCGTAAAATCATACTCACTCACTCACTATTTTATAAGACAAATACACATGTATTCTTAATCTGTGCATATGAAACATTGTCCGGCCTGCAGTTCACAAATACCATTGAATTTGTAAATCATCATGTCCAGTGATGTTTTATCATAAATATCATGTTTTCATTAACCAAATTTGTAAACGGCCACCATTGCCATAACACAAGATGCGCAGTAAAGCAGTGCGCATGTAAAGGGAAGTAACTGCACGTTATATTGGAATGCATTGTTTTGAAGAATTGTAGCATTTCACTGCCAGGGTTGTATGTTGGAGACGTGATATATTTCAGGATTTCTTTCCTTTTTAAAATGGAAATAAAAACTAAATGTGTTGGGGACTCAGTGAATATGCAGCAGTACCTGAGAAACATGACTATTTTCTTTTGAGCCTTACCTTCACCAACTGTTCCTGCAGCAGTCGGTCCAGTGATGGCTCTTGGGGCATCACCTATAAAGCACATTTCAATGTCAAAAGCATTACACTGATTAATATTTAACAAATTATCTAGAAATAATAACAAGGCAATAACCTGTGTAGCACACCTTCTAGAGGAGACATTATGTGTGTAAATATTGTTGCCTTAACAAATCTAGTGTTCAATTTTCATGTTTTGTATGGTGTTCTAATCACAACTTCACTACCCCAGCAGGGATTCCTGGTTAGAATTGGTCCCAGCAACCTATGCTGGTCAAAATGGATTAAATGGTCAAGCTCAGTGGGGACTTGGCTGACAGCTTGTCATTGTACCTCAACAACGTGGATTGTTAATCATGTATTATGGATGTATAGCTTGTTGCTGCTAATTTAAGGGTAGTAAGCCCCTGTGGTTATGTCTTTGTAAGCCTTGTTAAGCATGGACATTAAAAACACAGCAGTACTATTATGATGATGATGTAAACTTGTAGTAACATTATTTTACTGAATGCTTTATATTTCTTTCAACACAACATCATAAAGTCTGAGATAATCTATTGTCCAATTTTTAAGTCTTTCAAAGGGACGTCCATTTTGAATTTAATAATGGACGAAATGTTGTCTCCTGTCAAATAAATACAAATACTACATGATTACTTTTCAAACAGTGGCTAGGCTTTGGTTGTCGTTTGATTCATAAAGCGATTATGAATGGAATGGAGCAAGACAATCTGTCTTAGAAGTACATCTTCCTGAGGCAAGGGAGTTAACTGACTATAAAAGTCCAGTTTCCACCCTTGCCGAACTAGGCTGGTATTATGGAGTTACATTTTGGCTGAACTAACGAGTATATTGTATATGCATAGTCCAATCAAAATGGTGCACCGAAATCAAAAACCGTCGTGCAGATTTCGGTCGATTGCAGGATTTGCAAAGCATGTGCACCACCAACTCGTTGTCAGCAGATATTTTCCAAATCTTTTCATGTTTTTAATCAGGGTGTTCGTGTGATTTGATGCATTTTGCGATGTAAGACCCGCGTTATCACAATATAGATCTTTATTATCGATCAGATCGTCTTGACTGGGCGCCCCCATTATGTGTGAAGCAAATGCAAGTGATATGAGAGGTGGAATCTGATTGGTCAATAGGAGAGGCTCAGAAGGGACACAGCTGATAACAGCCAATGGTGGCGCTATGATCGAGCCCAGTAATACCAGCCTAGTTCAGCAAGGGTGGAAGCTGGACTTTTAAAGTCAGTTAACCCTCATGGTGCCTGGACGTCAGTCAGCCTGCAAACCGCTCAGTGCTGCACTGTGCTGATGTCGCGGTTACAAAAACGTATACATTGTATCAAAAGTGTTGCAACGTCTTTATTTCTTCACACAGTGTAACCAAATTGTATAACATGCAACTCGAGTTGATTGTCTTTCCAACAGTATCTTAAGTCACCAAATCCAAAAGATCTATGCACTGCCCAGCCATCAATAAAAGTGCTAGTATTATGAGTTTCTTGCTTTTCCACATTAATCGTAATATGGACGCATTCGAATGTGGCAAGCAAAGTCAACTGAGCGCCCTTGTTTGAAATCTAAATGACCAATAATTCATATCATTGGCAAGTACTTGTGGTTTCTTTAAACCTGCTGAGGTGCTGACATGGCTTATGTTACTTAGGCGTCACAAAACAAAAGAACTGGTTCTCAGGCAATGGCTTTTGAAAATATAGTAACTGATTGCTATTTCCAGCTTATTTAACGAGAAGGGGCGGTCGGGAAGCCTAGTGGTTAAAGTGTGCGATTGTCACACCAAAGAACCGGATTTGATTCCTGACATGGGTACAATGTGTGAAGCCTATTTCTGATATCCCCGGCCATGATATTGCTGGAATAATGCCAAAAGATGCATAAAATCATACTCACTCACTCACTATTTTATAAAACAAATACACATGTATTCTTAATCTGTGCATATGAAACATTGTCCGGCCTGCAGTTCACAAATACCATTGAATTTGTAAATCATCACGTCCAGCGATGTTTTATCATAAATATCATGTTTTCATTAACCAAATTTGTATACGGCCACCATTGCCATAACACAAGATGCGCATTAAAGCTCTGCACGCTAACGTCGAACCCATTCGACAAAGGTGTCCATCCCCGTGCATCTGATGTCGAACCCATTCGACAGGCGAATAGCATAACAACACCCCAAAATAAAACTCGCTATATCTATTTACCTAGAAGGCTTTGCGTAACATTTAAATTACGTATGACATGCATAAATGCTCAGCTTACTCAATATCAAAACGTTCAGTCATTTATTTACCTCAAAAAGAAAATATCGCGAGTTAAAAAAGTTTCGGCCAAACTTCTCGGCACACAACTACCAGAAACGGCCATTGTTGACTTTTGGCACTTCACGTTGAGCGGCATGCAGTCCGATATATTCTTTATAATTTCATCATTTTTCCTATTCGATCATAATTTTTTGTTTGCTGACGAAAGGAAAACACTCATGTTCCTTTATTTCTAAAAATTAGCAACTTTTGGTCTGACTAATTGTAAACAGAAACAATCTGAATCGTAACATCATGGATTGGATGGAACTTGTACGATCATGGCAACGGCGGTAAACAAACAACTCCACATGCATAGTTATCCCGTTAGACTATTACAATCATTTTGTTACATCTAACTTAATTTTCTAGAATTATTGACACGTATGTATAAATCTTTGTAAAAGAATTTCATTTTTAAAGAGTTTGCAAATGATTTCGTTTGATAAACTTTCTGACACGTTGACAAGCCGACAAACGTCAGTGATACGTTTGGGCGTGGCCTAACTCGCGATTTGTTGAGTTGAACAAAGTCAACAAACACTGCGAAAAATGGCAAATACTGGATGATACGCAAAATCTGAACTGATATACATTCTAGGTAAACCAATCAATAGCAAAGTAATGCAAAGTAATGCAGTTTACGAGAAATAATCAAAATACTTGCAATTTTAGCTATCATTTCTGAAACCGGAAGCATGTACCGCATGTGACACATGGAAGCAAAATATGCAAAAGTTGGTAAGCTATCATAAAGAAATTCCGAAATAGATTCAAATTCAAAAGAAAATACATAATTTACTATTTTTCGTCAACTATTTACTATTTATTGATCTGGAGAGCAGTCTTCACTCCTATTTGTTTCATATTTCTTAGTGAATGTCGCCATCAAATGTCTAAATCCGAAACCGTAATGGATTTCACGCTCGATGATTTTAATTTTAAAATATTTTCTGAAAACGAACGCAACGGAGAGCGATATAACGTATTGATATGCCATAATAATAACATAATATTGTTATTGGTCTAACATTACAAAAAGAACAATTTAAATATTAAAGATGTTGTTGAAAACTTTCTGAGAACCTCCCGTCCTCTGAACCGATAAAATTTTGGTACACAACGAGGTAGTGTAAATATATATAGATTCTAGGCTCCTATATAAGTGATTTTGTACCCAAAACAATTAAATTGTACCAAAAATACTTTGTGAATTTGTACCTAAGAAAATAAGACAATAGATCTATAATTATATTTATGTTTTCATGTAGATTAACAGAACACATAAAAAAATATTTCATCAAGTTCCAAATATGATTATGACTGTGATCCTTGAAATTGATTGTTTAGTTTTGAGAGAAAATTGACGTCTTGTCACTGAAGGAGAGGCCAGTTAAGTTGGTTAAACCTAAGTTAGAATGAATTGTTTTGATAGGAAAGTGATATTATGTTAAGTTTAAGACACCAAATTAATGTATTGTAATTGGATATTGGAACAACAGTACTTACGCGTTCATATTTAATATACCAATTACAGGTCAATCACCTCATTACGTTTATATTCAACACGATTTATTAACTCTGTCACCCGAATGTGCTTTTTATGCCGTCTGGATCATGTTACAGTAATTACATCCCACAATGCACTTCTTAACAGTCTGCGCATGCCCAGTAAGACGGACATGACGTCACAGTGTTTACCTTTATTAACCCTGCAGCCCCGCATGAGGTTACTTTCTACATTGTCGCAAGCCACTCAACTGCGTTACTCTCATATGCTTCGGTGCTAAATCACGAGTCAAGTCAAGCCATCCGATCTCGGGTTTCGCAATACTCAGCTAACCAAGACTAATAATGGCGGAGAGGAGACATAGACGAGCCAGAAGTCAGCGCAATCGGGTTAATGTTCTCGACTCCGCACAGCCTGAAGAAAACCCGGATAGCCTCGAACCCCGCGCCACTGCTGCCAGTGCCAGTCGTACTACAGGGAGAATCAGCAGTCAACCGTATCTGACCGTGGCCCAGCTACGCAAACAACTGGCAGAACGGGGCGTGAGGGTTCCAAATAATTGGCCCAGGAAAAGCTTGTTGCAGCTGTTCCAAGAAAACCAACAACAACGGCCAGCAGCAGCGATGGTGACCTCATCGGACAGTTCCGACCCGAGTGCCATTTCGTCTCCGGCGGCCACAATTCCGGGGGTGGTCGAAGCCAGCACACATCCAGGGAACCCAGATGCCCTTGTTAGTGGGACCACGCTACCCTACAGTGTCATATCGGACTTCGGGGACGATGGTACCAATTCCGTGTCACCTGTTAGTGTTGCCAGCCTACAACGCGAACTTGCAGAGCTAAAACACATGGTAGCGAACATGACCAGCCATAACGCAGTGCCCACCGTGTACGCAGCTACAAGCCTACCGGATCACCTCAGCCATGATGTGCCGTCGGATTCGTTGCCCCACATCCACACAGTCGCGCCAGCACTCAAGAAGAAGATTAAAGACGGCAAGTACTGTAACCTGGCCTTGCTATTGATACCTAATCAAGACACTCTAGACGCTAGAATGGCCGAATATGATGGCAATGTATATCATTTAAAGGAGGATGCTAGGCTAAATCGCACTCTAACACTAGCAGAATTCATACAGGCCTTTGGCATTTACAAGGACATTCTTTGTGACAACAATAACG